GGGGTACAGCATTGTTTCTCACCCTTGGAAACTTGAAGATGCCCGGCCTTCACCCCCCAGAATTCCTCAGCCAGCGAATGCTGGCTGGGGAATTCTGGGAGTTGAAGTCCGGACATCTTCAAGTTGCCAAGGTTGAGAAACACTGTGGTATAGGGTTCGCTGCCTAAGCAGGGGGTTGGACTAGAAGACCTCCAAGCTCCCTTCCCTCTGTTATTCTATTCTAAAAGCACAATATAACACATATGTGGTTAGAAAGCATTGTGATTTTCTTTAGTCTACTTAAGTTTTCAACAAAGCTCAAATTGCAGATGCTGTAGTTAAACATTTAACAAGAACAAGAGTTCTTTTAGCCTGAAGAAAAGTTTTCAAAAAGGTATCAGTAACTGACGACGATTATCTCAGTTAAAGTTACAATAGAGCAAAACCTGAGCCTATGATTCCATATCCCCCTTTTGCCCCCAAGGACAGTGATGAATAACCTTTGGGGAATCACACACACACACACACACCCGTGCCCTGCTCTCCTGCACACGCCTGTGTGTGTCCCCCCCGTACTCCCACACCCCACACACAACTACCCCCCACCCCGTTTTGGGCACCAAAAACAGGCTGGAGGGGCACCTCCCCCACCTCCCCGCGCATCTCCTGCATGTGCCCCCCTTCTGCATATGCGGCAGAGACCCGTTGAAGCTGAGCAGGGGCAACAGCTCATGTGCCCGCAGAGAGGGCTCTGCCTGCTCAAGGTTCGCCATCACAGCCCAAGGGCGCAAAGCCTTTTATGGGGGATAAATTTCTGGATTTACCTTCTGCCATGCTGATGGTAACATAAAAGCCTCATGGGATTTGTTGTACTGTTGTACTACATGTAAGTAGGTTGGTGGAAATATAATGCTGGTTTAAAGTAAAGGAAGGAAATCTGTTACTCTAAGAGATTTCCCTCCCCCCTTTCTTCTGAAACCCACTGCAGTGCAGTGAATGTACCCTCCATCTGACTACAATAAACACATCTGGAAGATGCCAAACAATAGCACTTAGACTTATAGACCGCTTCCCAGTGCTTTACAGCCCCCTCTAAGCAGTTTACAGAGTCAGCCTCTTGCCCCCATCAATCTGGGTCATCATTTTACCCACCTCGGAAAGATGGAAGGCTGAGTCGACCTTGAATTGGTCAGAATCGAACTCCTGGCAGTGGGCAGAGTCCGCCTGCAATACTGCATTCTAACCACTGCACCACCCAGCTCCTCTGAGGCCAACCAAGGAGAAGCTGCTAACCCTTCCTTCCTAGTCTTGCTTTCCCGTCAGGAAACAGACCAAGTTAGTTTGACAGTCATTGCTACAAAACCTGCTCACCTTAGTGTTGTTCACCATCATCGGTTTGGGACTCAGGTCTGTCAAGTACAAGGCACGAGAAAGCAGCAGCAAAGAAGGAGGGACTTTTTCCTTGAGATTCAAATCCAGCCACTGTACAGCAGGGACGAGGAGAAAAATTGTTCACAGCAATTTTCTGGGAAATTAAACTTTTGCAAATCTGAAGCTTTAACATAAGAGGATTGGGGGGGAAAACCCCTCATTTTGCTCTAGCAAGAATCTTCCTTTATATTTTGCACCAATTTGGCTCTCTGACCACCCTGCGAGACCAGAAAATTCCTGACACACTGAAATTGGAAAGCAGATTATGTTTTGTTCTCATGGTCCTTCCCAAAGGTGCTTTGGAAACAAAACAATCAAGGTGAATGGAGTCTTCCCAGACTGAAATTGGTGGCGTTATAAATTGCAAGGAGGCGCGATGGCTCAGTGGTTAAAGATGCTGAGATTGTCAGCTTGGATTCGAGACCCGAGTGCTACGCAATGGGGTGAGCTCCCATCATTTGCCTCGGCTCCTATCCACTTAGAAGTTCAAAAGTATGCAAGTAGATAAATAGGTACCACTCCGGTGGGAAAGTAAGAGTGTTCTGTGCATCTGGGTCTATAGTCGTGCTGGCTACATGGCCACATAAATGTCTTCAGATAATGCTGAAAGTGAGGGGACCCAAATGTCAACTCGCAAAGCATCCCTGGCCTGCTCTCAAGTTGCTAGGAAACGGGGGATGGGAAACCGATGAAACGGAATGGCAGCAAAAGACAGATGCGCATTCCAGACTTAGCTCTCTCAACGATGTATCCCAGGGTTACTTACAGCAGCCCGGAGGGGAGTGACCTCTCTACCCTGTGAAATTGCCTCATTAGCAAATGTGATTGATGACATACCCTGGGAGGTGGGGGGGAGGGTCATGATTGGGGCTGTAAATTATGTGGGGTCAGAGCTGGCTTCACTTGGGAACGTGCGGACATGAAGCTCCTAATAAATAACTGGATTTCTTTTGAAGCCTGGCTCGAGGCTCATGATTTAATTAGGGCATTTGTCAGAACTCTGACAGCTGGCTCCCTTGGCTAGGATTCAGAAATGAGTCCCACCCTCTAGAGACGGACATGACTGGACAGGGAAAACTTCTACCTTTACCTTTTAGGTTGCAAGAACTCCAACCATAAAGTATGCTAAAGGAGTTAAAACCCGGAAGATACCAACATACCCTTGCTGAAAGATTGAACTGGCTTCCATGTGTAGCGAGACCATATCTGACTCTAAAGCTTCTGGCTGCCAAGCCTGAGCTACCCTCTTTGAGATTTTAACGGCTCAGAATGGAAAGGTAGCTTCCTGCAGCCCAGCCCTCCATCCTAAGCAGCTGCTTTCAGAACCTGCTGAGCGCCACTAAGGACGCCTGCTTAAGCAGTCCCTCATTCCCATCTGCTCCATTTGGGTCCTTAGCTCAGCTGGAACAACTGCTTAGGTCTGTAAAATTAAATTGAAATACTTTCTAATCCCGTTCTGAACCAATCCCGTTCTGAACCAATCAGCCAACTAAAGAGCTGGCCTCAAATTTGCCATCTCTCTTAAAAAAAAATTTTTTTTTAATTCGCCAGGTCTCGCTGCTTTAGCAGAGTAAGGAAGATACTTAGGGATGATTCACACCCTGGTCAGTGTCTCATCGGGCAGAAGACATTGAAGCATAGCCAGCTGAGCAAATAGATTTAAAAATAGTTTCTATCCTTGGGCTGTCACTCTTAAACACAACCACAATCACTCCACGCACATGCGGAAACATATGCCTAGTTTTTCTTTTTCTTTTCCCATAATGACTTGCATAGGGATTATTCTTTATGCTATTTATGTTGTTTGTATTTTTTGTCATGGATTGCACCAGTGAGGCTAAAGCCAATTTTGCTGCATACAAGGCTATACTATACTATATTATTAATGTTGTATTAATTACATTTCTTAGTGCTTTATAAATATCATGTTGTCTGGGTATTTAATTTGCTTAGCAATACAGATTTCATTCTTACTCTCCACCCCTTTTTTCCACTGGTAAAATAAGTTCCATGTTGGATAATATCCTAGACCTGCCATCTTTTATAGCAGTGATGCTCTTGAGAATGAGTGAACATCTCCCATTTTTGCAGATGTTGGTTTGGAATAAGAAGTTATTACCTATCGGTAAAGCAGAAATGGTGGCTAAGATGCTGAGCTTGTCGATCAGAAAAGTCAGCAGTTCAGTGGTTCAAATCCCTATATCGGAGTGAGCTCCCGTTACTCATCCCAGCTTCTGCCAACCTAGCAGTTCGAAAGCAGGTAAAAATGCAAGCAGGAAAATAGGGACACCTGTGGTGGGAAGGTAACAGCATTCCGTGTGCCGTCAGCATTTAGTCATGCCGGCCACATGGCCACGGAGATGTCTTTGGACAGCGCTGGCTCTTCGGTTTTGAAACGGAGATGAGCACCGCCCCCTAGAGTCGGGAATGACTAGCACATATGTGCGAGGAGAACCTTTACCTTTACCTTTAAGGCTGGGGATGGGAGCAAGAGGCTTCCATGAGGCAAACCATTCTTATTTCTAGCTTTAAAATCCCCCAACTCCAGCATAATAACTTAAAATATATATCTTGTTTCAAAATTCAGCAACAGATTTCAAATATTTGGGACAGCAACAGAGGTCGGTAGAGGTTGTGTTAAAATACCACATGGGCCTTTTGCAAAAAATAAAAAGGTTGGCCTGGTCCATTCTAGCATCCCAAACAGATGCTCGGAGGGAGAGATCACCTGTGACATTCAGTCAGGAATGAAGCAGCCAGATACCTTTGGATATTCTTCTTGGACTCAATTCCCTTCCCTCCCTCATCCCTAACGTACCTGGTTCAGTTGCTCTTTGAGCTGGTCCTCTGTAAGGCCCAACGACCTCATTCCTCTTGCTCTGCATGCACTCTGGAGCTCAGACACGCTCAAGCCATTAACGCCTTCCTTGGCTATCATCTACAGGCAAGAAAGAGCAAGAATTAGCATCATATGGTTAGGAGCCATGGTGGCGCAGTAGTTAGCAATAGCAATAGAAATAGCAGTTAGACTTATATACCGCTTCATAGGGCTTTCAGCCCTCTCTAAGCGGTTTACAGAGTCAGCATATTGCCCC